GAGTGGCTTGGGGCAGTCTGAACTTGCTCAGTAGGCTGATTGTACCCAGAGACAAGCAGGCTGTTATTTTCCACAGGGCATCATTCCTTCCTAATGACAAGGTAGGTCAAGTCACAAGATCCCCGGGCAACAGCCTCAGGACCCACAGTGAACACGGCACTGCTGGCTCATGATGACATGATGCCCCTAGTGAATGACCACCCAGTGCTGGAACCTGGCCATTTTTCATATTGGCTTTTGAAGAGCTAATTTTAGCCAAATGGGTCAAACCAATGACATCAGAGACTTAGCAAGGAATTGCTGGCTTAAAATAAATGAATGAGCTGATCTGGTTTATCCTACTGGTGACAGCAGCATGTAATTAGCTTTGTGGATCCCTACTTGCAAAAGCTCTGAATTTTTCCCACTGTGTGGAATTCGCGATTAAGATAGCCACCTTCATCAGAAAGTCAACAAGCCATGTCCCCTCTGATTCCTCACTGTTACTCTTTTATTTGCAAAAAGTGACTCCTTTTCTCAGTGGGAAAATCCTAAGCCAACTAATAGGTCCAACGTATTTTTCTTGGTTATGCTAACTATGTTAGGGAGTGGGCCATCTAGCAACAGAACTTGATGTGAGTGTTTACAAAGTTGTAAAGTCCACAGGAAGGAGCACATGGCAAATTGCATGTATGCACTGACTAGGAGGAAAACGTTCCAAGTTTTTAGTTTTTATTGGCTACCCAATACCAATTGATTATAAAATATCACCTACAGTAACTCTGTGCATCTCATCCCAAGGCCTCGTAGGTCAGTGGATAAAGCACATCACTCAGGAACTCTGAAGTACACTCAAAAGGAGGCACCTGAGTCACCAGGGCCATGGCCTATTGATGACAGGTAGCATCCTGTTTTGAAACATCACTTTTAATGATGTTTAGATCCATGTATCTGTGGTCAGTTTGGAGAAGCACTCAAAAATGAGACTATAAAGAAGGTTTTGGAAAATAACTTGGGACCAGCATGGTAGCTTATGCCTATAATCTCAGCACTTTGGGAGGCTGAGGTGGGAGTATCATTTGAGCCCAGGAGTTCAAGACCAGCCTGGGCAATATAACGAGACACTGTCTCTACAAAAAATCAAGAAAATTAGCTGGGCATGGTGGCATGGGCCTATAATCCCAGCTACTCGGGAGCCTAAAGTGGGAGGATCTTTTGAGCCACGGAGGTCAAGGCTGCAGTGAGCTGAGATTGCACCACTGCACTCCAGGCTGGGCAACAGGGTGAGATCTCAAACAAGGAAAAAAAACAAAACAAAACAAAAAAGAAAGTAACTTTGAAGGCCAAACAGTTATCGTAAAAGATATTCTTAGTGAAAAATTGTTTTAATGAAAGTCATTTTGGTCTAGCTGATTTTTCAATATCTTTTACAATCCTAGGGATTGTTGATCTGATGATTTAGAAATATGCATTTGATTAGTTCAGCAAACATTTATTGGGCTTCTACCATGTGCTTGAGTCACTGGAGGTATAAAGATAAGATGAGCTGCTCTTATGAGACATATATCAGATTATTTTGATTAGAAACATGATCTCCAGAAGAATGGATGACCTCACCAGAAATATATTATTAATATCAAAGGAAAATAATAATATGGGCCTGTGCTAAATCTTTTTGCCTACCCTATCAGTCACAGGGATGGTTAGAATGTTCAATCAGGATCAATGGCACATGGCCGGGCTTGGTGGCTCACGCCTGTAATCCCAGCACTTTGGGAGGTCAAGGCGGGTGGGTTACCTGAGGTCAGGAGTTCAAGACCAGCCTGGCCAACATGGCAAAATCCTGTCTCTACTAAAAACATAAAAATTAGCCAGGCATGGTGGCAGGCACCCAGAATCCCAGGTACCTGGGAGGCTGAGTCAGGAGAATCACTTGAACCAGGGGTTGGGGGAGTGGAGTGGAGGTTTCAGTGAGCCAAGATCACACCACTGCACTCCAGCCTGGGTGACAGAGCAAAACTCTTGTCTCAAAAAAAAAAAAAAAAAAAAAAAAACAGGGCCGGGCGCAGTGGCTCACGCCTATAATCCCAGCACTTTGGGAGCCCGAGGCAGGTGGATCACGAGGTCAAGAGATTGAGACCGTCCTGGTCAACATGGTGAAACCCCCTCTCTGCTAAAAATACAAAAAATTAGGCCGGGCGTGGTGGCTCAAGCCTGTAATCCCAGCACTTTGGGAGGCCGAGGCGGGTGGATCACGAGGTCAAGAGATCGAGACCATCCTGGTCAACATGGTGAAACCCCGTCTCTACTAAAAATACAAAAAATTAGCTGGGCATGGTGGCGCGTGCCTGGAATCCCAGCTACTCAGGAGGCTGAGGCAGGAGAATTGCCTGAACCCAGGAGGCGGAGGTTGCGGTGAGCCGAGATCGCGCCATTGCACTCCAGCCTGGGTAACAAGAGCGAAACTCCGTATCAAAAAAAAAAAAAGAAAGAAAGATCACTGGCACAAGAATGAAATGCATTTTTTACTATTGGCCAGTTAACTGTGGCCATTTTTCTGAATGACACTTTCCGGGTGAGACTCAGAAGTGCATCTCTGAGTGCTGACCCCAGGTGGAGAGAGAGCATTTGGGTCAGGCCCACCATCATCAGATCGGGGAGCCTGAGTCTACCCATCTTGTTATTATGTAAGTGGCTCCTATCACCAGAGTATCTCAGATCTTAAGGGCTTGAGATTTCTTGATCTTCAATCTTCAAGTGCTGATAAACACAATAATCTTCAGGGTCAGGGAATAAGGAAGAGGTTTACATTTTACCTAGCTTTTAGATGTTGAGATATGCTCTAATGGGCTGTTTGGTTATGACTGTCACGACAGAAACATCATCTAGACAGATTACAAAATGCTTTAGAGAGCAGTCTTTCAGAATGATAAGATTAGAAAGGAAATGGATATTACTTTGCTGTAAATGTGTATGGCTAGTAAAACATTCAGATGTTCTCTCTAGATCAGATGAGCTGGTTTATGCCTGTAATCCCAGCGCTGGAGGATCTCCTGAGCTTGGGAGTTTAGGACCAGCCTGGGGAACAGTAAGACCCTATCTCTTAAAAAAAAAAAAAAAAAAAAAAAAAAAAAAAAAAAAAAAATTCAGGTGTGGTGGCACATACCTATTGTCCCACCTACTTGGGAGGCTAAGGCAGGAGGATCACTTAAGCCCAGGAGGTTGAGGCTGCAGTGAGCCATGATCATGTCACTGTTCTCCAGCCTGGACAACAGAGTGAGACCCTGTCTCAAAAAAATGTTCTCTCTCTCTCTGTATGTCTGTAGACATACACCTGTATATACATACGTCTATCTATCTGCATCTGTAAAAACAAACATCTATCAGCTGGGCACGGTGGCTTACACCTGTAATCCCAGAACTTTGGGAGGCTGAGGCAGGTGGATCACCTGAGGTTGGAAGTTCAAGGCCAACCTGACCAGTGTAGAGAAACCCTGTTTCTACTAAAAATATGAAATTAGCCAGGCATGGTGGCACATGCCTGTAATCCCAGCTACTCAGGAGGCTGAGGCAGGAGAATCGCTTGAACCCGGGAGGCGGAGGTTGCAGTGAGCTGAGATTGTGCCATTGCACTCCAGCCCAGGAAACGAGAGCAAACTCTGTCTCAAAAAAAAAAAAAAAAAAAAAAAAAAAAAAGCCACACACACACCTATCTATCTCTAAATAAACACGAATCTATTTATCTGTATCTATACCTAATCTACCTATTTTTAGTAAGGGTGTTTACTATGGCAGCGGGGGAGGGAGGTCCACATATAAAGCTGATAATTTATTTCTGCTGATAACATCCTTTTAGTAAACTAATAGGAATGACGTCACCATGGATGGGGGGTAATAAAGACTCAATGTGTATATGTAAGATCTCTATCCCTATTCCATTCTTCTGCAACTTAGAACAAGAGTCCATTACATGCCAAGGTTTTGGTTAGGCTTTTTTCTAACGTCCCTGCTAGTCACGTGGCTTACTTGAAGTGTGGAGAGCTACGGCACGTGTGAAGGGCAGCCACGCATTCATTTGCTCTCTTGATGCTCAGCACAAGGAGACAATCTGACTACAAAGATTTGCATCCCCCGAAGATTCTTGCTAGGCATTATGACATCCCCAAACTTAATTTTCTGTCTTTTTTGATAGTCCTGAGGCCATGAGAGGCAATAGATCACTTAGAATGCAAGGAGGCACTTGACAATCCTCTAATACACAAATGAGTAAATAAATGAACAAATAAATGGACATATGAGTCCCCCTTTAGGACCAAGTGTGGGGATCTACAGCACTGCTACAGATGCACCTGGACTGATGTTTTGAGTCACTCAGGTCTCCAAATGGCCATAACTTCCCAAGGTTGCATGCCCATAGCTATCACCCCAAGCTGCCTTGCCTGGCGGACAAGGTACAGCCCTCAGGCAGACCGTCTTTGGGAAGGTTGCTGATGACTGCCTGGAATGTCCCATGGGTCTCATTTTTATGGCCCAGCAACAGACATTTTAGAAAAACTGAGAGGGAGTGAAGATGGCATGTTCCTAAGACGCTTTCCTGCTCTGCGTGGTGTTTGAGTGCATTCTGTTTGGGAGTGATTCTGCACACAACTCAGACAGGGACTGTGGACTGGCTATTTTTGCTTTCTGCGTAAAGGTAGTTTTGCTCTTTTGGAAAACAAATACACCCATCAAGGCTTCAAGGCAGCGACAATGACAACTCACACAACTAACATTGGGTTCTCTGTAGAACATGGCCTGGTACAGCATCACTGCTCAATAAATGCTTTCTGATAATGATGTTATCATATTTTAGTTAAAGAGTAATCAAACACAGGCATGACCTTACAAATATACATACAGACGTGTTTCCGTTGTCCCCGAGAAACCACCTGGGAGTATTTCAGATTAAGTGGAAAGCCTCTTACTTGACTGATTTTCAGGCCTCAAATGAATTTGAAAGTCACTGGATGCAAGCTGTGTACCTGAGGTGGGAACTGTGTCGGAGGGTTCCCTGTCAGGACATCTGATTTCCGTTCCTTCTCTTACCTGAAAATGAGACACAGGGAAATAAGGAAGACGGATTTTGCTAAATTGGAAATGGGTGAGAAGTAAGGCCTCTCTTTTAGAAACTATCATTTAAGATAAAGTAAAACGTTGATGTCTTTTAAGATTTCTCCCTCTCCTTCAACACTCACAGCCAATTGTCCCATCTTTTCCAAGTGCTCCCAAATCTGTTCCCTCCTCTCCAGAGCCTCTGCCTCCACCAAAGTTCAGGCCTTTGTTATTTCTTTCCAGGATACTGCAATGATTCAACAGCATCATGGCCATCTCTCCCCGAGACTTGCTCCCCACCCTTCTGAATCTGTCCAGAGTGGTCATTCTCAGCATGATCTGATGTGTCACTCCTCTGCCCAAGGTCTCAGTGATGAAGGGAGTCTCTGTGTTGTTTATTATTGCGTCCCCAGACCCTAGAACAGTGCCTGGGATAGTAGATGCTCAACAAATATTTGTTAGTTGAACAAATAAATTACGACTCTGTATTAACTTCGGCAAAAAGTCCAATCTCCCTAGCATGGCCCAAGAGGCCTCTAAACATTCTAAACTACCAGCCCTTGCCCCAAGTCTCCATATTTCCCTGCGTCCAGGCCTTTGCCCAAGCAGTTACCTCTCCCCTTTCTCTTTCCTCCCTTCCATTTGCTCACCCTTCCTTCCATTCATCTGCCTCAGGCTTAGTCACCCTTCAAGGCTGAGGTCATGGGCTTCCTTTGGAAAGCCTTCTTCAACTTTCTCCTGTCTGGGCTAGTTTCTCTTCCTCTGTGTTCTGAGAATACCCCACAGAAACAAGCATCACAGCACTTGTTACATTGTGCTGTAATTGCCTGTTGACTTGTCTATTGCACCAGACCGAGTTCCTTGGGACAAGTCATACTTTTTTATTTACATTTTAATTTCTCATACCTGGTATCCATCCATCCACCTGTCCATCCATTTTTTTTTCATTCAACAAATAGTTTTTGGTGCCTACCCTGAGTTCCTGCCTCACTGAGCTTATACTCTAGTGGTACACAGCAGTCAGTCAGTAAATGTGTCCTGAAGAAATGTATCACTGCTTTTATCAGATGATAATAATGGCAATACTTATATAGAACTCATGATATGCTAGATTCTATTATACGTCCTTTATACTTACTGACTTATGACAATTTATTAATAACAACTCCACAAGGTAGGACTATTATTGTCATTATTTCCCAGATTAAAAAACTAAGGCACAGAGAGGTTAATTATCTTCCTCACTGACACAGAGCCCATAAGTGGAAGAGTCTGGATTTGAACCCAGAGCTGGTTACTTTACCTCATTATGCCATGCTGTGTGTCAGGTGTACCCTCATTGCTATACAGGTTAGTATGAATCAAGTTGATAAATGGAGTCTTTCACACTGTGTCTCTCAGGGTGGAGGCCCAGGCCATCAACTCTGCCTCCACTACTTGGAGTAAATCTTACCCTTTTCCATAAAATAGGGAGGCAAGGATGTCACTAGGATCAAATTGGTCTCCGCACACCTCAGTCCTCTGTTCTCTGAGCAAGAAGACCATCAACCTTGACTGTTCCTTGCTTCCCCAGAGGAGCGTGGGGTGCCCTGCCTAATCTCCGTGGGAAGTCTCAGGGGAGACTCCTGAGAAAAACAGTGAGCAAGGCCTGAGTGCCTGTCAGGCACCCCCACAAGTGTGGACCGACTCAAAGGCTTTCGAGCTCCACACTCTCTGGATCAAGATCTCACCACATTTCTCTGCTCTTTCTTAACTTGCTCTTCAGATGAAGTTCTCAGACGAGTTTAGAAGAACTTGTCAGCGATTTGCGGGGGCGGGTTCAGAAGAATTTGTCTTACATCACAACAGACTAGGAACAGGAGGTGCTGGGCAGCTCACTGTAAAGCCCCCCATGCTGGTTTCGGAGGCAGCTCTGAAGATGAACTGTGGGGGAGACCTGCTTCCAGGCACCCAGGAGTCAGTCACATGCTGGATCCTTCGCCCTCCCCCAGTCTGTCCTGACTGAACCTTAACTGTCTGTGGCAGCCCTCCACATGCCCAGAGGCAGCTGATGTTCTAGGACGTTAAGAACCACATGGAATGGCCAGGTGCAGTGGCTCACGCCTGTAATCCCAGCCCTTTGGGAGGCCGAGGTTGGGTGGATCACAAGGTCAGGAGTTTGAGATCAGCCTGGCCACCATGGTGAAACCCCGTCTCTACTACAAATACAAAAAATAAGTTGGGCGTGGTGATGCGCTCCTATCATCTCAGCTACTCATGAGGCTGAGGCAGGAGAATCACTTGAACCCAGGAGGCGGAGGTTGCAGTGAGCTGAGATCACGCCATTGTACTCCAGCCTGAGTGACATAGCCAGACTCTGTTCCCCTTAAGTAAGTAAGAACGTATTGTATTGAGGTTGCAAATCTGGTCAGTTGATCTGCTTTAAAATAATCCAGGCTGAGTTCGGTGGCTAATGCCTATAATCCCAGCACGTTGGGAGGCTGAGGCAGGTGGATCACTTGAGGTCGGGATTTCAAGACCAGCCTGGCCAACATGGTGAAACACCATCTCTACTATAAAAATACAAAAATAGCCAGGCATGGTGGTGTGTGCCTGTAGTTCTAGCTACTCAGGAGGCTGAAGCAGGAGAACTGCTTGAACCCAGGAGGTGGAGGTTGCAGTGAGCTGAGATCACACCACTGTACTCCAGATGAGGCAACAGAGTGAGACTCTGTCTCAAAGAAAAAAAAGAAGAAGAAAAAAGAACCACGTAGAAGGTTTCAAAGACTTGGCAAGGAGTGCAGTCCCTGGTTTTTCTGCATGTTTGTCCATTACAGAAACTCTTTCCTTACCTCAAGCTTCCCTTCGGGTTTCTGCAGTCTGGTCAGGTAGTTGCTGTTCCTGTAGGTGAACAAATAGGGGCTCTCCTGCAGGGAAAGGTGACATGTTAGAATCGTGACCCAGAAGTCTGTATCCCTTAATTATCAGGCTTGAGCATCCAGCAATGCTTTTGGCCAACTCAGAACATTCACATCACCCTTCCTAATGCTTTCGCATTTCCCATTTGTGATAGCCAGTCTCTCCTGCTCTTTACCCTGGGGGTTCATGCTACCAGGCTAAGTACATATGTTTCCATGAGAAGGAAATCTAATTTTAAGCTTCTTGGCAGCCAAAGCAAAAAGGAAAACAAAGTGAATTGTATACTTTTTATTGATAGTAACAAAAAACTTACTAATTCATCAAGAAAGCCAAATACTTGACTATTGGGAACAATGATAGAAAAAGTACCATTCATTTATGTCCAGTTATTTTCTCATCCACTTATTTGGAAACATTAATTATAAGCCTACTACATATTAGACACATATTTAAGATGTAGTCAAAATGACCCACCCTCCAGGCTCTTAGATACTCATCATCCCTCCCTTCTTTCCCACTCTGAGGTAGAGGCAGGTCTGGAAATGGCATCTGGGACAGAAGGCCAGGACCCCCAGGAGACGCGTGGGGGCAGCATATGGGGCCAGGTGAGCTGTGGCTTGTTCCTGTGCCTTCCATAGGCATGAAGGGGGCTAACGTTTTGCAAAAAACGCTCTCATGGCAGCCTGGAACGGTGGCTCACGAGTGTAATCCCAGCACTTTAGGAGGCCGATGTGGGCAGATTACGAGGTCAGGCGTTCGAGACCAGCCTGGCCAGAATGGTAAAACCCCGTCTCTACTAAAAATACAAAAAAAAAAAAAAAAAAAAATAGCCAGCCGTGGTGAGACGTGCCTGTAATCCCAGCTATTCAGGAGGCTGAGGCAGGAGAATTGCTTGAAACCGGGAGGCGGAAGTTGCAGTGAGCTGAGATTGCACCACTGCACTCCAGCTTGGGTGACAGAGCTAGACTCTATCTCAACAACAACAAAGATCTCTTGCCCCAGGTGTAAGCATTAGGGCTGTTGTATATGCAAAACTGTGTGCAGGCCCAGAAGAACCAAGCCAGGACTGTCTCGGGGCTCATATCCCAGGTAAGGCCCACTTCAAAGCAAAGCTTACTTGGCCACCGCACCTATGCCCTCAATTCAATAAGAGTTCCCTCCCCTGCCCAGTCCCTCCTACCTGAGAGGGACACTTGATTGGCCTCCTGTGTTTTGTATTCAATGGCTCATCTTTCTCTCCTGCTGGCTCCATCTAGAAAGGAATGGGGGCTTTAGAACAGGGAAGCTTTGTGCAGGGAGCAGCCTGCCAAGGCACCATTGAGAAAGACTCATGAGACCAGCAGCAGCACCAGGGAATGAATTAGAGACGCATATGTCCAGACTCCATCCCCAGCCTACTGAGTCTGAAACTCTGGGGCTGGGGCACAGCGGTGTGTCTTGTAACCAGCTCTCCAGGTGATTCTGATGCACACCCAAGCTGGAGAACCACAGCATGAGAGACTGCATCGTTTTTGTTTGTTTGTTTGTGTGTTTTGTTTTTTGATATTGAAGGGACTTCCTAGTCTACCTCTCCTAGAAGGAGAAACTGCACGTCAGAGGTTGAGGTGGCGCCCAGCCAGCCAGGGCAGAGCCGGGACCCTGACATCGTTGTCCCGGATCCAACCAAACATCATGCAGCTTTCTGATCACGTGGGGGCCGGTTACCCAGCTTGGCTCCTTGTCCCTCCTTGCTGCCCAGCTTCTGTCTGGCTCACTGATTAAAGCTCCCTTAGGAGAGCTGGTGTGGGACGGAAGGGCAAGCGCATTGCTTTGCATAAAGCATGTGTTCCTTCCCACGTCTTCCCTGCAGCCCGTGCCCACAACCCAAATGTATATCAGTCCACGCACCACAGAGAATGGAAACCCTCTGTTCCCCGAGAACTGCCTTCACAGCTTTGAGTGAAGCAAGTTATGGGGCCTGGGTCAAGTCTCACGTCTTTCACGGGCTCACAGATTTAGTGACATGGAACACAGCACAGCCTCCACTCACAAACCGCCAGAGCATCTAGTGAGGCAGGAGTGTGGTATCTGCTCTGAAATAGGCAGCTACTTAAATGACAACCACGAAGGCCATCAAATGACATCTAATAACACAGATAAAACCTTTATGGTATAGCAGCAGGAGAAACCAGCAGATTATCAGCTTAGTAAACGCATTAGAGATAGGCAAGTGATTAGAGGAGAAAGGGATTTTTTTTTTTGAGACGGAGTCTCGCTCTGTCGCCCAGGCTGGAGTGCAGTGATGTGATCTCGGCTCACTGAAACCTCCACCTCCCGGGTTCAAGCGATTCTCCTGCCTCAGCCTCCTGAGTAACTAGGATTACAGGCACCCACCACCATGCCCAGCTAAGTTTTGTATTTTTAGTACAGATGGGGTTTCACCATGTTGGCCAGGATGGTCTCTACTCCTGACCTCATGATCTGCCCGCGCCCCAGCCTCCCAAAGGGGATTACAGGCGTGAGCCACTGCACCGGTCAGGAGGGTTTTTTTTTAAAGTTAAAAAGTTCTTTTTGTTGTTTTAACATGTTCATTATATATATATATATATATATATATATATATATATATACACACACACACTTCAAAAGAAAAATGCAGTGGCTTGGAGGGATTGTAGATTTCCTTCTGCATGTGCTATTTCCTACTGTTTGAGAACAGGTTTTACTATCATCTGGCTGCCCACAGCTGCTGGGCTCTGGTGGTAGCTCTGGCCCTCACCTCCTCTTGCAATCACTCTGCCAAGGGAAGTGGGAAGCTGTTGGAAGGGGCAGCCTGTCTGGCTCAGACACAGCTTCCACCAGCCCCGATGAGGATTTCAGATTCCTCAGCGATGTCTTACCCCAGCATCTGTGCCCCAGTAAGCAAGAAACAAGTAAAGAACTTTACCCTTCGTGGAATTGGCTCTTCCCCAAACTGAAGGAGCATCAGATAAGGAGGTATAATTAGCTGAACATTTGGAAAAGGAGTGGTAACTCTCTAGTTCAAGGCCTAGGGGAGCAACCGGACCCCATGCTTCTTTCTGTTTTATTCTGGTGGTGGAGTCTGAGGTGGGAAGAACGCTTAAGCCCAGGAGTTTGAGACCAGCCTGGGCAACACGGCAAAACCCCGTCTCTACCAAAATACAAAACCTTAGCTGGGCAAGATAGCACACACCTGTAGTCCCAGCTACTCCTAGAAACAAGGTCCCACCTGGAACATTCAAGGCAAAGGAAGTGTTCAGCAGGCCTGGATGAGGGCTAGATCCACTTCCTCAGAATCATTTAGATATAGCTCTTTTAAGGTTTCTTTCTAGATTCCATTATGGATTCAATTTTTGAAAGGTTGGGGAAGGGTGGGCATGGTGGCTCATGCCTATAATCCCAGGCCAGCGCCCAAGCCCGGATGGTTCCAGGTATGTTTAGATGGGGTGCTGTCACCTCCCACGCTGGCGTGTGGAGCTTTTCCTTTGCTGGTCCTCAAAGCTCACCTATGCTAGGGCTTGGAGGATGAGGGAGGGAGGATGCTGATGTGGCCTGAGCACGTGGCTTTGCGGGCTGCAGAGCTGAGAGCTCCCCTCCTTCCCCACAGTCGTGTCCTGGGGGTGGCTGGGGACAGAGTGGTGGACCTGGACTCCCTGTGGTCATGATGAGTCTGCTGGTCCCTCTCTGCTCCCCACTGGGAGGGCAGCCCTTACCTGTGTGTCTGCGAGGGTGGACACAGAACAGCCACACCTGCCTTCCACCTCCGTGTCCCAGTCCAGCCCAGCAAAGAATCACGGATGTGGCGGCAGAGACCCCTCTCCTCCCCACACCCGGAGGATGCAATGAGCAAAACCAAGGGTAGAAAGAGCCCAATGCCCCACTGTATTTTCACAAGCCCTCGGGTGCTGGCTAAGGGCGCTTAGACCATTTTGGCATGTAGAGCAAATGGACGCCCAGAAAGACCCTTTGACTTGCCTCGAGAAACCACCGAAAGTGGGACTGAAACCAGAGCCCAGGTTTTCCGGCTCCTGCCCAGTGCCCTTTGCCCTAACCTGTTACCCCCGTCACTTCTCATGGCTGACTTCAGGTCTGCAGGAGCTTCTGATGGGTTTCGGCGGCTGTGCTGGATCCGGGAACTGTGGGATGGTCTGGCATTTTGCTTGTGAGGAAACTAGGGACTGGGGGTGCTTGGGGGAACCCCTCCTATCCTGTCTCTCCTCTGCCCCCACATCCCTGCTGGCTGAGGCTGCAGGAACCTCAGGACTTGCACTGGGAAACCAGACTTGTTGCATGGGTCTGGAGAGAGTGAGGTCACTGCTTACCTAGGAAAGCTACATCCTCCTCCTCTTCTAAGCCCTTGTGACACTCTGTGTTGAAGGCCTTTGGCCTTGAGGGTGAGACCTTCCATTCCTGTGTACCTGCCTGTTCTGACCCTTGAGTGGTTTTAAGAGACCACGCATGCAGCAGACCTTATCTGTATGCATGGGACCATCACCCGGCTCCGTAAAGGGGGTTATTATTGCTGTTGCCACCAACATCAAGGACAAATAGCATGATGAAAGGGGAAAGAGAAAGGAATCCAGCCCTGTCCCTGGACCTGCCCTCTCCAGCTTCTCTGTCTGGTGCTCAAGGGCTTCTTTCATGCTCAGAGCCTCATTATCTCCGTATCTCTTCTCTTATCAGACAGGCCTCTTCCTGCCCTTGCTGCTGCATCTGACGCATTCTTCTCTCCATGCCCTTTGCTCACAAAGGTCGCTTTGCCTGGGAACACCCCTTCCTGACCTCGGCCAACACAGTCCGCAAAGACCATTCAAATCCCCTCCTCACGGCCGCCCCTGACACTGCTTCCTGGTGCACGTCATTACTGAGTCCCTGTTGATTCTTGTTCCTCTGGGCTGCCTGGCCCTTCCCAGCTAACCTGAAGCTTGGTGAGGACAGAGACCACGTTTGGTGGGTCTCTTGTATCCTCCTTGGAACCATGGAGGGTATGTCGCCTCCAAGGGTGGGCCACGCTGCAGGTGTCCTTTTGTTGGTTGGGAGAAAGACAGCAGGAGGGGAGAGATTCGGCTGAGCTGACCTTTTTACTGAAACTATAACAGGATTTCCCCAGATTCCAGAGGAATCTGAGGAGGGCTTGGGAGCATGGTCCCTGCTAGAAGGGTCAGGTTCCTCTTCCCTGCCCATCCTGGGAGATTAGCAGCAAAGTGGGTTTCCGGGGACCCCGGAAACCCTGCAAGGGCCAGACACACTGACAAATGTCCCTGTTCAGAGAAATCAAAGGCTTTCTTGAAAGGACAGTATGTTTCCAGTATCGGGAACTGCTGGATACTCCTTCCCTCCCTCCACTCTGTGTCACGCTGGCTCGTGTGTGCTGAAATGCAGCTGGCCCTGGCACTTAGCACCCAACGTCAGTTGTGTAGACGGATCCACAGAAGAAGAAAAACAAATTTCTGTCACTAGAACCCTAAAAATAAGGCAGCTTGGATGGGAAGAAAATAAATGGCAAAATCAGGTCTCTGTCTGATGCCCCGGAAAGGTTCAAAGCCCTGACGTTACATTCCACCCCTGACTAATTCCAGATCTCCTGGGGGGATCTCTGGAATCTGGGGAAATCCTGTTACAGTCACAGTAAAAAGGCCAGTCCATGTGGAGTGCTTACTACCAGCCGGGGGCGAGCTGCGCACTAGACAGGTTGGGCCCGGGGCTGGCCTGCGTTTTGAAGAAAGAGAATAGAGACCTGAGTTCACAGAGCTTGAGTGGTGGAATGAGAATTCCCACCATGCCTTCATCACGCTGAAGTCCGTAACACACCCTGGGCCCTGACAACCATACACACTGCCGAAGTGTGAGGGCACGTGGGACAGGAACTAACTCAAGCAGGTCTTCTCTACAGACTCTGAATAATGGCCCTGCCGCTGCAAAACCAGGGCTGAGGCTTCCCCGAGACCCTCGCTGTTTGCCGGCCTGGCCACAGCCCAGCACCTGCGGTAAGGCAAACCCCCAGGCAGTGAGAGACAGGCGTCACCAGGAGAGAGAAGCATCCCTGGGGGCCCACTACCATTGTCCGGGGATCCTCAGGCACCCTGCAGTCCCTCCCCAGCACAGTGGGCAGGGTGGGCTCAGTGGCAGTGGAGACCCTGCCCCTCCTCTGTGGGCCCGGCCTACTCACCATCCTATTCCAGAGATGCAAGGCCAGCATGGTAGAATTCGGGAGTGGGGGATCCCCCTGAAAGAGAACCAGATGAGAGCAGGACCTTTTGTCTCCCCGGGAATGCAACGGACCTGCTGCACACTTGGAGGCTCTCTCTGGTATAGAGTTGGGGTGGCCTGACCTGTCCAGGGCCTTTCCCTCAGCCCCTCCTCTCATCAACAACAGGGCATCTATAGGACCACTGTCTGGGGTGAGGGCCCGGTGGTCAGGACCTGCAGGAGCAGGTGGCACATCAGGCAGTTCCATGTGGTCATGGGGTTCTCTGTGGCTGAACTCAAGAGTGGGAAGAGGGGGTGGCAGGGACATGATTCGGCTGTGGTCTGCCTCGGAGGACGAAGGAAGGGCACATGAAGCTAGTATTTCTCCTCATCCTCTTAAACCATCACTTTCAACACTGTTTACAGCCTGGAGATGGCACAAGGATTCTGACAGGCAGGAGCCAGGAGCCTGGAGGTGGGGACTGTCTCCAGACACAGGACTGAGGCCGTAGAGGCTGCAGAGACTTTGACCAGCAAGTGGGGACCAAGTGCTGCATGGTCTTGGTGGCCACTTGCCCAGTGACTTGGGGGAGGGGCAGGGGCAACTCACATGCTCTTCCCAGAGATGGATGGAGAGGAGCTTGCAGGGGGAGGGGCAAGAGCTGGCATCCCTGGAGATTCTCTTTGGAATAACCACAATGGCCAAGAGGTACAAGTGCTTCCCCAGCACCAGAAGCCACTCTACGTCCTCCCAAGTATTAAGTCATGTGGCTCTGATGGCCACCAAGAGGGAGGACGTGCTAATAAACGGCCCTGATTTTACAGAACAGAGAGGTGGACACCTTGTCCAAGGTCACACAGCCGGCCATCTCAGAGCCCGGAGGGGAAGCTGGGCCATTCACCCCTGGGCTGCCCTGCCTCTAAGAGCCCTTCTCACCGGGGCTCTTCTACCCTGTGGGGAAATTATATAGGAAAGTATAAGAGACTAAGGTGGTATTTCCCCCAAGGCTATGTATCCTGGGTTCAGGAGAGCTGAACTGGGCTGAGGCTTGCTGGGGTAAGGGTGAGAGAAGGGGCAGGAGCAGATGTGTGGTCCAGGCCTCCTCCCCACCACACTTTGTTTTTTTTTTGAGACTGAGTCTCGTTCTATTGCCGAGGCTGGAGAGCAGCGGCACAGTCTTGGCTCAGTACAGCCTCCACCTCCCAGGTTCAAGTGATTCTCGTGCCTCAACCTCCCAGGTAGTTGGAATTACAGGCACCCACCCTCATGCCCAGCGAATTTTTGTGTTTTTAGTAGAGACAAGATTTCACCATGTTGGCCAGGCTGGTCTCCAACTCCTGACCTCAAGTGACCCACTCGCCTCACCCTCCCAAAGTTACAGGTATGAGCCAGCACACCTGGCCCCACCACACTCTCAATGTGCCACACAGCCCCCACTTACCGAGGGTGGAGACAGGGTGGTCTCATAGAAGAAAGGCTGGAAAACCACCGTGAAGGACTCCTGCTCACTGTGCCTGCTGGAGGCCAGGAGGCTGTTCCAGGCTTCCTGGAGAAGAGAGCGGAGAGGTGCCCATCCAGGCGCAAGAGCAAGGCAGAGCCGGCCCCGGTCGTTCTCAGCAGCCCCAGGACAGAACCTCCCCCGACGCATTGTTCTCAAGTGCTATTCCGAAGCTCCCTCTTGTCTCACCCTTCAGGGCTCTTTGATAGCTCAGCTGAGTGTTCATTTGTCTCTCAAATGCCAGCATTAGGTAATACCAGACAGACCTAAAATATATTCTCTGGAAGCTTAGGAACGACAAGACAGCCCAGCACGTGGCAGGGCCTCTGCCCTCTTCGAGAGCTAAGTTCGGTAGAGGCAGGTGCCATTAACCACTCAAAAAGAGCTGTCATTTCCAGAGCGAGAGAAATGCCATGCAACGTCAAATGTAACTTTCTTCTTAAGCAAAAGTCATCGTGTTAACACACGCTAACAGGGAGGAATTGTGTTTTGAGCTGTTTGCAGAGAGGGATGATGGCTTTCATTGAGCCCCTCACCCTCTTTTTGTTGTTTTTTTTGGAGATGAGTCTCACTGTCTTGTCCAGGCTGGAGTGCGGTAGTGCGATCTCGGCTCACTGTTGGCCAAGCTGGTCTTGAACTCCTAACCTCAAGTGATCTGCTTGCCTCAGCCTCCCAAAACCATGGAATTACAGGTGTGAGCCAGCACGTCTGGCTCCTTCGCCCTGTCTCAGGGTCTCTTCTATGAACTGGAATGTGCACCCTCAGGAGCCCTAGTTTGCTTCTGGGCTGTAGGCTGGGGACAGGCACACCGGGCAAAACCAGCTCGCCCGCCCCAGATGTGGTACTACAAGTGGCACTGACGATCAAAAGCATTCCAGAATGAAGCTTCCAAGCTCCTCACTGTCTCTGCCTAAAGCAGTACTGCAGTCCCCATTTTACGCGCAGGAATACCGAAATCACCACCACGACGCCCACCGAGACTAGCTCTCGGCTCCTGACTTAGTCCTGAATTCAACTGGAGAAGCCCTAACATTAACAAACTCAACTAAATGTTCTCCTTGGTGACCACCCCTCCCCTGTGAGCCAGCAGCCTGGGCACCCAGGGTGGGCTCACCTGATAGGACCACTGCATCACCACCTTGGCCAGTCTGGACGTCTCCTTAGAGCAACTGCAGGCCTTTGGGGCAGGGCTGCAGGTTAAAACACACCAGGAATGAGAGAGGGAGGCAGTGTGGGGACGTGGTGATCCAGGCTGCCTCCTATGGAAGAAGGGGCCTAGGAGTTGCTTAAGGAGTAGGGATGAAGAAGTTTAAGTCTTAGGGGATACAAATGTTGGGAAGAATAGAGGGTCGGTGGTCCCTTCCTGGGGGTGGGTATGGGACGGGGGAAAGCTCTTCCTGGGGGCTGGGTATGGGATGGGGGTGAGTATGGGATGGGGGTAAATATGGGATAGAGGGACGCTCTTTCTGGGGGGCATGGGCACAGGATGGGGGTGGGCACAGGATGGGGTGGGCACAGGATGGGGGTGGGCACGGGATGAGGTGGGCTGGGATGGGGGATGGGCACAGGATGGGGGTGGGCACAGGATGGGGGTGGGCACAGGATGAGGTGGGCTGGGATGGGGGATGGGCACGGGATGGGGTGGGCACAGGATGGGGTGGGCACAGGATGGGGGTGGGCACGGGATGAGGTGGGCTGGGATGGGGGATGGGCACGGGATGGGGGTGGGCACAGGATGGGGGTGGGCACAGGATGGGGGTGGGCACGGGATGAGGTGGGCTGGAATGGGGGATGGGCACGGGATGGGGTGGGCACAGGATGGGGGTGGGCACAGGATGAGGTGGGCTGGGATGGGGGATGGGCACGGGATGGGGGTGGGCACAGGATGGGGTGGGCACAGGATGGGGTGGGCACAGGATGGGGGTGGGCACGGGATGAGGTGGGCTGGGATGGGGGATGGGCACGGGATGGGGGTGGGCACAGGATGGGGGTGGGCACGGGATGGGGGTGTGTACGGGATGCAGGGATGCTCCTCCTCCCCTCACTGCTCCTCACAGCAGATGCCCACATCCCATTCTCCTTTCCCTCCTCTGTGCCTTCTCTGTCTCTCGTTCTCTTCAGAGCCTTCCCTCCCCTCGGCACCCCCTTCTCTCCTTTCCAGCACCCCCTTTTCTCCACCGCTCTTGCCCTGACTTTTTCCACATGAACTTCTTTTCTAGGTTCAGAGCCAGAAATCTTAGGATTTGGCTCCCAAAAGTTTAAAGTCTATGAACATTTTCAGAAATATATAGGAATCGAGCTCTGTGAAGTTAAACTACATTTAGGCTATACGCTCTTCTATCCAATTTCCAGAAGTAACACTTCTTAGCTTATGGATGTTTTGCCAAGGCGAACTCTCAAATCACTGGCACGGAGGAGAGCCTCTGGCGAGACATCAACCAGACGGAGTGTTTTATTCGTCGACTCAGTCCCCAAAACAATGCTTGGCAGAGGGCCCGGCCCACCCGGCTCTGCCACTCGCTGGCGCGTGAGCTCGCACATGTCCCTCGGCCTCCTTCGGCCTCTGTTCTTTAGGGCCCCTCACAGATTAAGGCACATGAAGGGACTCCGCAGGCTGCACACGTGACAGCCAAGTCACAGATGCTCATCTCATTCCACTTCCCCTTTTACCTGAGCCAAGTGCCCTGATGCTGGCCAGAGACCTCTGCAAGCTCCGAGAGGTCCACCAGGTTTACAAACGCTCTGGGGACCTAGGAGGACAGAGAGAGGAAGGTGAGCACTTGCCAAGTCGCCCCAGCTGCCAGGCTCTGCGGAACTCTTGCTTGGGCCCCATTTGGGGCGTGGTTGAGTGTGATGGGCATCCCTTTGGTTAACTGGGCATGACCCTTTGGGAGATGTTTGGTCAGGGTCAGTCCGCACTGCCAGCCCTGCATCTGTGCCATCCAGAAACAGGACTCTGTCCATCACGGTGGCACCTCCCACCAGTGTCCGCAGGGCAGTAAGACCACTGGGGCTATGGGCCTGCAGCCTCCTCCAGCAGAAAGCTGCCCCCACCCCACCGAGGAGCAAAGCCAGAGGCTGAGCCACAGCAACCCCCCCCCACCCCACCCCTGTGCTCAGACCCGGCAGCAGCATCACAGTCGCTGAGCAGAAAGGCCTTGAAGGTCCTCAGACCCCCGTCATCCCATCCTCGCCCCTGTCTCGAGTAGAGAGTGGTCCTGGGGAAGACCAGGGCCACCGAGGACTCAAGGAACAGCTGAGTTTCTCTCTGAAGTTTCCTTTGCGGGAGTGGAGTGCACTCTCCTGACCCATGTTCTCATTTAAAAGGATGGGAAGATGGGGTCCTCTAAAGCTTGCCTTTCCTCAGGGTTCCAGTCTCCCTCCCGGGCTCCGTTTCCCCACCCTGGTGGTGGCCATAAGAGGGTAAACGGGCCCCACCGCCCTCTGGGAAGCCCTGAGCTTGCGACCTCACCTCCTGCTGCAGGTAATCCAGCACCCCGTTCAGCGTGTCCAGGTCACCCGCCGCGAGCCCGTTCTGTGAGAGAAGAACCTAATGAGTGAGGGTGTCAGCAAGAGGACCACGAGGAGAGGACACCCAGACTCATGACAGGCCCGTCCCCAGCAGGCAAGACCACAGGCAAAGGCCCCGTCTGGACCTGGCATTCCACAAACGAGAGCGTTCCCGGAGCTTCCTGGGTTTGTGTTTGTTTTGTTCATCTGTTTTCTCCCCAACTTGTCATCCACCAGGGAGAAACCAAACTCCCCCCAGGTGACAAGTTCCATCAGGAAAGGGCAAACTCAAGGCCAGAGCAAGGTCAGAAATACCTGGTGCAATTCTGAAGCTCATACTGAGGGATGGGAGACCTACTCCCAAAGACTGAGGAATTGCTTTTTTTCCAAAGAAAATCAGGTCCAACAGGGACATACAATTAACCCTGGATTTAAGATCCCAGATGGGCCTCGGAACCTTCACATGATCTTATCTTATCAGCCTTTCTCCTGCTGTATTTACCCTAAGAGAAGGGCTGCTAGAGAAAGAATATGAGTGGGCCCTGCCATGGGAGGATTTTAAAACCTCTCCCACCCCGACAATACACACACCACTCCCCTGCCTGCAGGTAATGCAAATCAGCAAATGAAGGACCTCAAAAGTGGACCCTGCTTTACTGTTTTTTTTCCTTTTTTTTTTTTTGAGATGGAGTCTAGCTCTGTCGCCTGGGCTGGAGTGCAATGTTGCAATCTCAGCTCACTGCAACCTCTGCCTCCCCGGTTCAAGGGATTCTCTTGCCTCAGCCTCTCAAGTAGCTGGGATTACAGGCACCCAGCACCATGCCCAGATAATTTTTGTATTTTTAGTAAATATGAGGTTTCACCATATTGGCTAGGCTGGTCTCGAACTCATGACCTTAACTGACCCACCTACCTCGGCCTCCCAAAGAGCTGGGATTATAGGGCTGGCTGCAGTGGTTCACACCTGCTTTACTTTTTCTTTTTTTTGAGACGGAGTTTCACTCTTGTTACCCAGGCTGGAGTGCAATGGCACAATCTCGGCTCACTGCAAGCTCCGCCTCCTGGGTTCAGGCAATTCTCCTGCCTCAGCCTCCTGAGTAGCTGGGATTACAGGCACGTGCCACCATGCCCAGCTAATTTTTTGCATTTTTAGCAGAGATGGGGTTTCACTATGTTGACCAGGATGGTCTCGATCTCTTGACCTCGTGATCCACCCGCCTCGGCCTCCCAAAGTGCTGGGATTACAGGCTTGAGCCACCGCGTCCAGCTGCTTTACTTTTTCAATGTGAAAAATAAATTAATAAAAATTACAAGACAAACTCCTAAGTTGCCTGCAGACTGGCTGTCCCCTAAGGCAACCTGGCTCAGACAGGAAGACAAGGAGGGCCAAGGAGCTATGCTGTCGCCTGGAGGGGACACAGGCAGTGACTCTGGAGACAATTGTCAATCACCCAGGCTGGCACCACACAGGAGGAAATGCAATGTCCCTGTCTCTCTGCCCCTTCACCAGCTGTCCCTGCTTTGGTGTGAGGCTGGCGCCTGAGAGGCCAGTTCAGCCAGGTCTGTTACCATAAAGCCTTCTGTCTAGTTTTCTCTAAGTGAGCCATTCCCTGACCGTGACATCAAACATCACCCTCTCTTTCCTGAAGAGCCCAGGAGAACTCTGTCTAGAAGTATCCTCGCTGACCATCTGTACCACATCCATTGTCCCTGTAGAGATGGGGGACCCTGCGTGGCTCTCCCCAGAGTATGACTCTTTTGGAAGAAACCCCTGGTCAAGCTCACAGCTGTAGAGAGAATTGGGGCCCGCCCAGTCATTCCCGGCACTGCACGGCTGTCACTTAAGGCACCAACTGTCCCCACTTCTCAGTAGAGATGCTGTACTCCTATAAGATGTCCCTCCTCTATAGCATCACACATAGTAAACTCCTGGAATTCAAAGTCAGGAAAAAGCTGATTTCTTCAAATGAACTTTTACATTTCCATTTGTATCGTTTGCCCCCTGGTTTGGAAGAATGTCTATTATCAAATATGTGCCTGAGACCTGACTTAACACTAATAAAGTATTTTCTTGGGATTTATTCCAAGAAATGGGATTATTCAGTCAAAAATTAGAAATACATTTAGGTTTCTTGAATCGCACTGCCAGAATACCCTTCAAAAGGCTGCCACCTCACCTGTCACTAAAGACATTGGCAACGAATAAATGTGTCTGTTTTCTTGTCATCAGCTTGCTTTCTTTTGAAAATTTTCTTCTGATTTTTAAAATCTTACTCATTAATAAAACTAAAGGCTTTAACTAGAGAGCAGTAAGCAAATGTACAAACCCAAAAAGCATCCTCAGGTCACCGCTGTGAGCCAGGTTCTCATTTACCTCCGAAGCAACTGCCTTCAGAGCCCCTGTCACACCTGATGGGTCGTTCCTGACTTGACTCTCTCTGACTTTGGTCTTAAGAAACTCCTAAAGAACAGCTGTGGACACAGGCCCTTGTTTATTTCCCTTGTTTATTAAAGGGGCCCAGAGGTCTCCATAGCAGAAGAGACTTCCAGGTCCTAAGGTGGGGGCAGGACAGTAGCTCAACATTCCTTCTTAATGGTAAAACATGTTTTTCTTGTGTGTACTTTTCTTTTTCTGCTTCCCAGATTCAAGTGATTCTCCTATCTCAGCCTCCTGAGTAGCTGGGATTACAGGTGCCTGCCACCAAGCCTGGCTAATTTTTGTATTTTTAGTAGAGATGGGGTTTCACCATGTTGGCCAGGCTGGTCTCGAGTTCCTGACCTCAAGTGATCTGACTGCCTCAGCCTACCTAAGTGCTGGGATTACAGGTGTGAGCCACCACCTCTCATGTGAACTTTTGGGAAACCCTTGATACCTATTCTGTGAGGTCAGGTGGCAGCTGCTGCCTACCTTCTCAGCATTTGCCTGTGGAGGGATCTCCAGCGGCCCCTGGGTTTCTACAGAGCACTTTTGTTTTTTGTTTTGTTTTGTTTTAAAGATAGAGTCTTACTCTTGTTGCCCAGGCTGGAGTGCAGTGGCATGATCTTGGCTCACTGCAGCCTCTGCTTTCTGGTTTCAAGTGATTCTCCTGCCTCAGTCTCCTGAGCAGCTAGGACTACAGGCATGTACCACCATGCCCAGCTAATTTTTGTATTATTGATAGAGATGGGGTTTCACCGTGCTGGCCAGGCTGGTCTTAAACTCCTGACCTCAAGTGATCCACATGCCTCAGCCTCCAAAGTTCTGAGATTACGGGTGTGAGCCACCATGCCTGGCCATCTACAGAGCACATTTTGACAACCACTGAGGGAGAGCTTATGCCTAAGACGTGCTTTGAGAAAAAGAAAACTGCCATGTAAGACCTTCTCAAACGAGGATTGGCGTAGACAGGGAGGTGTGGCCAGAGATACCACTAGGAGGTGAGTGGGGGTCTGGGCTGTGAGGAGGGGGTCTGGGCTGTGAGGTGGGGGTCTGGGCTGTGAGGAGGGCAGTGCCAGAAGGCCAAAAGAGCCAGTCCCAGGAGGAGGGATTTATTCCAGGCTCCAAAGCCTTGGTGGTTTTTGTGCAACAGGAAAAATCAAGATACAAGAAGAAATGGAATAAAGAGGGAATTTGAGTGGATGCTAGCAGGTGTTGCTATACTTAGCTAAATTTATGGACCTCAAGTTATTGGTTTACAGCTGTTTAAAAATGAGGAGTGAGCATGATTGCTTTTGTCATGTTTGCAACCAATTAAAAGTGTGGGCTTCTAAGTGTGAATAAACTCAATTCATATGTAATCAACATGACTAGAGTTTGAGTGAATTTCTCATGTGAACGAAAATCATTAAGTCTGAGAACAAGAGTTGGAAAGGTTGTAGAGAATAGGTGCTCACTGCCACTGGTGGAAATATGAGAGGTCAGCCACTTTGGGAGGCAACTAGGTGGAGCCTATTATAACCCAAAGTGTGCACACCTGAAGACTGGCGTAAGAATCTACTCTGGGCACTTTTCTTGAGACTGCTTTTATCTTGACCCACAGTATGAGATGTGTTTCACACCTCAATCCAGTACAAGTATCCATATAGAAAGAAGTACCTAATGTTGATGATGGAGTGATGGATGCAGCAAACCACCATGGCACATGTATACCTATGTAACAAACCTGCACGTTCTGCACATGTACCCTAGAACTTAAAGCATAATAATAGTAATGAAAAGTCTTTACTTAAACCAGAAAAAAAATGTAAAATCTCATGAATCAACACTTCCCTTACTGCATGCAATGAACTCAAAGATTTTAGAGTTTATTCTATTTTTTTTACAATTTTAGTTGCAATCCTTTAAACTGATTTTTTTGACTCACTAATGTACTTCAGTCCACAATTTGAAAATTACTGTATCTAGAAAAACTCTTCCACATATTCAAGTTAATGAGCAAGACTCTGTTTATTGTAATATTGTTTATAATAGTGAAAAACTAAAAACACCTAAATGGCCATCAGTATAGGAAAACGGTGAAATAAAATGTAGTAAATTCACATAATAAAATACTCACGTAAGTGAAACAAACTCATTCCATGTGTATCAACATGACTAGATTTCAACAATACTTGGTTTGTGAAAAAAATTGTTCCATAGTACATACAATATAATACTATTTATGTTAAGTCTCTCTCATACATACATGCATGCAAAATAATGTTTGGATTTATAGATATGTAAGAGGTTTGCAAAGAAAAGAGGATTAGGGAGGTGGCCAAAAGGAAATGCATTTTAGCTTTAACTGATGTTTTAGTTTTTAGAAGGAAAATATTTGTGAACTGGTTGCATAACTAAAAATACGAATAAATAATATGTAAACGAATACATGTGCACAAGAATACAATATGTATTCATGAATGCTTGAAGACATAAATACATAAAAGGATGCAAGAATTTATGTAGGAGTGTTTAAACACAGAAAATAAGAAAAAAGAAAAAAGGTAAAAAAGAAAAAAGACAGAAAAAAATAGAAAATAAGAAAAAAGAAAAAAGGTAAAAAAAATGACAGGAATGTTTAAACACAAGACAAAGTACATGGAAAAATCATCAATGAGTTTAAGTATCCATGAATGCATTCATACATTTTAAAAAATCAAATTCTGACATGAACAAAGTAATCACAAATACAATCGCATGTATCTGTAAGATGAGAAAAGAAATTTATACATGAATATGGTAACTTATAGATGAATAAATGCATTAGTGAATATATAGAAGAATGCAGCAATGTCTAAATGCTTGTTTGAACATTTCAGTACATGAATGCATAAATGCATGAGTTAATATCATGAATTAATCAATATATAGAGGAATGCAGCAATGTCTAAATGCTTGAACATGTCAATGTATGAATGTATACATTCATGAAGTAATGCATAATGACCAAAATGGGGGGCTGTGCAGAGAACAAACGAGGCATGTAAATTTCACTTGGCACTGGAGAAAACAGAGGGTAAACTGGAACAATAAATCTTCACTATCTACGTGCTAGAAACCCAGGAAGGCTGCAGGATATTGACCAATGAGAGCTAGTCAGGAAGGCGGATTTCCATCAACAATGAGAGCTAGTCAGGAAGGTGGATGTCCATCTCAAGGCTGACATCACTAAAAGAAGGGGAGTTTGGATGGTGAGCCAGTAGTCAGCAGGAGTGTGGGGCACTTGAAGGGAGCCAAGAATATCTATCGTAGGAGAGGGACACAGAAAAGAGAGTACCACCTCAAGAAGCTCCACCATGCCTGTGCCTTGGCCTGGAGGGTGGCGAAGAGGACAAGCTGGTCCCACAAGTGGCAGGGCCAGCACAGTAGCAGCCTGGCTTCAGCATACTGAACAAGAGTCCAGGTGTCATGTATTTCACCATGGCTTAGATTACTAAACCACCCCTTACACTTTCAACTGATCCTATTCTGAATGATCTTCAGTAAAGACTTAAGTCATCGATATTCACCTACATAAATAATAAATGAGACTACATGTTTCATGTCCTGTTCCTAGGAAAGCCGAAGCACTTGGAAGATACAGTCTACTTCGATAAACAGCAGCCTTCCCACTACAGGTATAATTCATTGGCCAAGGGGTGAGGATAGTATGCACCCTGCTTTATTTCCTAAATTCAGAACTTATGTGAAATCAGAATTAAAAGAGGCAAGATAGTTTTTAACCAATCAGGATGCTAATTTTCTCAGTTGCAGAATGCCTGTTGACTCAGCTTATCTATGCTTCTATTTCCTTTTCCTAATATGAGGGATGGTAAGTAAAAACACCTGTTCCTTGTGACAGCTATGAATGCATGCCATATGTACATTATGAATTATTTAATGTCACTAATTGTGCACTTAAAATGATTAAGATGATCAAATTTATGTTATGTGTATTTTATCACAATAAAAAAAGTTGAAGCAAAAAAAAAAAACCCTATAAAACACCTGTCCAAGTATGTTTGAGTATCTGTCTGTCTATCCGTCTATCTAACAATCCATCTATCTATCCATCCATCCATCCATCCATCCATCTATCCATCTACCTATCCATCCACCTATCTATTCATCCATCTATCCATCTATTCATCCATTTATCCATCTATTCATCCATCTATCCATCTATTCATCCATCTATCCATCTATCTATTCATCCATTCATTTATTCAGTTCTAAAATAGATGGCATCAGCCCCAGCCTGACAGCTGGGGATCAGGTAATCAGGCCAGTTTAGTTTACTCCCTTTCCACCCCAGCATCTGCAACCCCTCAGCCCCCACCCTCCAGGCTGCCATTTACCTGCTTGAGCAGAGGGGCACAGGTAACACTGGCTTGTGTTGCTGAAGAACACATTGATGAGCTTCCAGTCAAGTTCAAAGTCAAGTTGCTGAAGAAAAGGGCAACAGTGTAAGGGGTGGTTTAGAAATCTAAGCGGTAGGATCTTGAACCAAAAGAATGTCTTTCTTTTCGCGTCTTTCAATGTCATATGCCCACCCCTGAAAATCACATTATGAATTTTTAATAGTGTATGGCAGGAGTTTAAAGTGTTACAACTGCTCTAGACTGACCAAACATATCCAAAACTTTTTTAAATTAGAAGACACACCTTTTGATCCAATCATTTCATTTCTCCAGATGTATTTTAAGGAAACTAGGATACAGGAATGATTCAGCTACAATGAGGAAGGCTTATGCACAAGAAGGAAAAACTGGAAACAACATAAATGTCCAAAACAGTAGATTGCTGTGTGAACTGTGGAATACTCATGAGATGAAACACTACGTAGCTATTAAAATGATGCTGAAAAATGTAATTATCATGGGAACTAACCTACTGAGAAAAGTAGGTTATTAAAAAGTATCTCTAGTAACATCCCTGTTTTATAAAATATATAAAGATGTATATGCTTGGAAAAAATATGGAAGGGAATATACACCAAGTTATTAACCATAATTATCTTTGGATTATTAGGCTTAAGGATGGTTTTACTTTTCTTTTTGCTTATCTTTGTTTTCTGATTTTTTCAGTAATGAACATGCATTTCTTTTGTAACCAAAAACAAACTGGCAGCGTGGTGTAGCTGAAGAACATCGGACTGTGAAGCGGACACTTCAGATTGTGACTCTAACTAGTAGTGTGAGCTTGTACAGGTCACATGACTTCTGGGAACTTCAGTTTCCTCATCTGGAAAATTACAGGGTTAGACACAGGATCTCTTCTCTATTTTTCAGAATAAGCATTATTTCAGAAATTCTGGGATTCTCCTGTTAGAGGAACACAAACTTTTTGGTGCAGCTCCTGCTCTAGTCCCTGTCCTTATGTGACTTAGAATGACCTTCACTTCAGTTCCTGAACTCTTTAATGTCTGCATGGCTGGCTGAAACAGCAGCTTCCCTTGGTTCCAGCAGTCCAGGCTCGGTGCTTACTAGCAAGGCTTGCCTTGGTTTAATACTTGCCCATAAGGGCAACAGAAAAGATCGAAGGATGCTTATTACAAACTTATATAGGTTATTGAGTAAATAGTATCCGAACTGTTAGGAGCGTGGTACGAAGGCACCAGCATGTATGTGACAGAGGCCTCCGCCTCAGAACTAAAATTAATGTGGTAATTATTAAGGACAGCACTCACCACTATAATACACAATGCAAGCTGCAGGCTTTTATTGAGTACTGAGTCTGTGCCAGGCACATCTAATACCTCATTTAATCCTCCCCAAACTCTATGTTGCAGCTCTTTTATCACCCCATTTCATAAACAGGAAAACTGAGGTTTAGGGAGGTAAGTGACTTACCCAACATCATACAGCTAATAGGTGGAGACTTCAGAATTCAAATTCAAACCAGTCTCACCTGGAACTGAAGCTCTCCACCGCCTCCCTTTGGGAGAAGTCATTTAGTCCTTCTGTTGACTTTCAGCAGGACCACACAGAAAACCGTTCTGAACAGAATTGATCCTTTTAGCCGAGCATTATGGCTCAATCTATAATCTCTTGGAGACCAAGGCCGGCAGATCGCTTGAGCCCAGGAGTTCGAGACCAGCCTGGGCAACATGACAAAGCCCCATCTCTACCAAAAGTATAAAAAGTAGCCAGTCTCATAACTGGTCTCAAACTAGATAAAAATTAATAACAACAAAGAAGAATTGGTCCTTTCTTTTAATGACTGCCAGAGAATGGCAAAGACATCTTTGAAGAACCCAGACCACACTAGCTGCCAAGTTCATGGTGAAATGGTGCCAGGGCCATCATCACTTTGTTCTGCCCACCTCGCAGCAAACCCAGGCAGCCCAGCCATGCCAGAGTTGGAGGGAGGCTTACCGGGTTCTCTTTCATGATTCTCACCAGTTCTCGAGCCTGAATCCACAAGTCTCTGTGCAGAGGGAGGGAAACAAAGAAAAATCAGCTAAACATTATTTTGTCAAGGGCTGAAAGCTTGCCGCTTGCCATAGCTCAGGTGCCAGTCTCTAAGCCTGAGCAACCCCTGGTTTCTGAAGGGTGGGTTTTAACCTGCTTTTCAAAATGAGGCTCATCAACTTGAGGGGGTATTTTGGCTTTGGCTTAAATATTTCTTTTTTTTTTTTTTTTTTTTTTTTTTGAGACAGAGTTTCCCTCTTGTTACCCAGGCTGGAGTGCGATGGCACGATCTCGGCTCACCGCAACCTCCGCCTCCTGGGTTCAGGCAATTCTCCTGCCTCAGCCTCCTGAGTAGCTGGGATTACAGGCACGTGCCACCATGCCCAGCTAATTTTTTGTATTTTTAGTAGAGATGGGGTTTCACCCTGTTGACCAGGATGGTCTCGATCTCTTGACCTCGTGATCCACCCGCCTCGGCCTCCCAAAGTGCTGGGATTACAGGCTTGAGCCACCGTGCCCGGCCTAAATATTCCTATTTTTAAGCCTCTTTGACTTTGCCAGCTCCCCAAATCCTCCTGCCTGTGTGTTGAAGACCAGTAGGAATATATGACCCCAGAGAGAGACAGAAAGGGGACTTACTTAGCACCATCGTGGGGTACGACTCTCTTCCCAGTGGGGCACACGGGCATTGGAACAGAAGGATTGAAATGTCTGATGATGTCTGAAAGGACTAAAGAGAGAACTGGTTTGAGGCCCTGGCCTTCACCAGCTGACGGTCACCTCTGAAGACTGACCTACTTACTGCTGGGAGTGGTGGCTCATGCCTATCATCTCAGTACCTTCGGAGGCTGAAGCAGGAGGATCACTTGAGCCCAGGAGTTTGAGACCAGCCAGGGCAACATAGCGAAACCCTGTCTCTATGAAACAAAAATTTGCTGGGTGTGGCGGTGCTCACAGCTACCTGGGAGGCAGAGACAGGAGGATCGCCTGAGCCCAGGAGGTCAAGGCTGTAAGTGAGCCGTTTCTGCCACTGCACTACAACCTGGGCAATAGAGCAAGACTTGGTTTCCAAAAAAGAAAAAGAAAAAGACTGACCCCCTTCCTCTAGGGTGAGCTGCCAGGGTGGCCGTCCCTATTCCAAGGCATGGTCCTTCCTCACACCCCCGTGGCCTCTGTGAGGTTGTCTGTACCCCTGCGGCAGGCCCCTGGAAGTGAAGGAGCTAAAAATGAACATCTGCCACGTGCAAGGCCAGGCCCAGTGCTCAGCCCTTTACATGTGTTATCTCACTTCATCCTCAGTAACAAGCCCATGGCAGTTTTATCTCCAAGACAGAGAAGGGGAAACTGAGACTGAGAAAAGTCAGGCCAGCTGCCCAGGGTCTCATAGCTAATTGGTTGCTGGGGCTTAAACCAGAGTTCTGGAACATCAAGGCTTTTCACTGTCATGTGCTACTGTCTCATTAGAGAAAGTGATGCTGGGACAGGGACTCAGGCTGCCTTCCAGCCCTCCTCTCTCCTCCTGAGAGTGACGGCAGGGTGGGAAAGCTCCAGGGAGCACACAGAGAACACGTCCCAGAGCTGCCAGCCAGAGGACCGCTAAAAATAGTGCTGTCAGGAGTAGCTGTGTCGTGTCTTGCTCCAGAGAGGGAGCAGGGCAGAGCGGGGAGAGAGTGTCACAGAAGGGCGATGTCTCCACTCCTCCACACAACTCCCCTTTCATTTTGCCCCCATCCAGAAGTGCCTCAGGGTTTCATGGGAGCAGAATCCAGAAGGTGGCTTTAAAGGCGCTCCCTGTAAAGGAAGCTTACACTGTGCAGGCAGCAGGCAGGCTGGGGTGGGGGAGTGGGCCTGGAAGTCAGGAGACTGGTCACTCGGGTTTACAATCTTGGGCAGCCTCCTAACTCGTGTGATTCCGTTTTCCCCATCCTTACCCCAAAATAATGAACTTCATTATCTAACCCCTGATTGGCTTGCAGAGAAACCCATTTCCACCTGTGGTGGGAAAGCGGGGAAAGTTCTGGGCTGGGTTCAGATTTATAGGGACAGCATGAATGTGTGCATGGGTGAGGGTCCTCTTGCTCCCTTATCTGAAGCTAGTCTGTAAGGATCAATGACAAAACACAAATATCTGGGGACACATCTGAAAGAGACTGCTTTCCGAATGAAAGGTACCTGTATCCGTGCTTTGCGATCAAACATGACCTTGAACCTTTTTTCTTTTTCTTTTTCTTTTTTTTTTAAGACAGTCTCGCTCTGTCTCTCATGCTGGAGTGCAGTGGTGCGATCTCGGCTCACTGCAACCTCCGCCTTCCAGGTTCAAGTGATTCTCCTGCCTCAGGCTCCCAAGTAGCTGGGACTACAGCCATGTGCCACCACGTCTACCTTATTTTTGTATTTTTAGTGGAGACGAGGTTTCACCATGTTGGCCAGGATGGTCTCTATCTCTTGACCTCGTAATTCTCCCGCCTCGGCCTCCCAAAGTGCTGGGATTACAGATGTGAGCCACCGCGCCCGGTCGACCTTGGATCTTTTCACATAAATTTGCCAATCATTTCGTTTTAAGTCTGCTGTGTACTTGGTATCCTCACTGTCTGAGTTCCCTGGCAGCAGCGAGGTGAGGACAAAGGGCACAGCCTGTGGGGCTGGACCGCCTGGGTTCACAGAGACCCTGCTACGTACTGAACACATAGCCTCGGGAAAGTCCACTTACCTCCCTGATACTCAGGTTTCCCACCTGCAAAATGGCCATGGTGCGTGAGGGCATGGCTAGGTTTGGAGATCTCAAAGATCAGGAGGGCTCTAAAGTTCTGAGACTGACGGTCAGGCAGGCTGAGCCCGAGCCAGCCCCATCTCACGCTGCTCAGGCCTGGATGACCCCAGAGCACTTTCTTCTGGAAAGACCTGCTCCTCCTGCTGGTCCAGCCGCCCAGCCAGGCCTGCAGCTGGGGCTCGCCCTCCTCCATCCTTCCCCACGGGGTAGCGTGGAGTAAGGCCTGCCTCGGAGGGCTTCAGAAGCGAGATCTGCCCTCATACTTGCTTTCTACGGCCCCTCTCGCCTGCTGGGGTTCCTGGCCACTTTGCTTAGAGGGGGGCAGTCAGACTTGTTATAGGGCAAATTGGCAGGAAAACTTGAGACAAACTGAGAAATTAGGCAATGCAGCAGCTGCATGCGTGGGTTCGGGGTCTAAACCATATCCCATCTTCCCAGACGCCCCCAAACACCCACTTATTTTTTTCTACCACTTAAAGACAAACAGGGCCAAGCCCAGGCACAGGGGTGATACCACAGGGTTGGTAATAGGCCTCCTCTTTCAGAGCCCTTTGACTCTCTCCAAGGGGACCCTTCTGCCTATGGCTTTGGCCACCAACATCCTCTCACCTGTCAATCAGATCTGGGAGGGCTGAACCACCAGGGCCAACCTTCCCTGCTGGACCATGAGTTCTGAAGGCAGGGCCAGCATCCTGCTCACCCCTCTGCTTTCCAGGGAACCTAACGGTTCACAGGCCCCTCCTTTAAAATGACAGCACTAGCTGCCCCACTCGTTCGTTCCTCCCCGGGAGCGTCAGCTCAGCAGAGTGCTTGCATTGTAGGCTACATCTCTTGCTCTAATATGCAGTGAAGTGGTTTCCCTTATTCTTGATTTATGAGCACCGAGCATAGGAGACTAACATCACACTAAGCTGACCCAGTTGCCGTTAGGGGGCTTCAGGATGACTTGATAGAATTATAAGAAATCTCTGAAATTAAATTTTAAAAACTCAATTATAGATTATTCACAAGCACATTTGTAAATCAAAAGGCCACAATGCTGACAATAATTATCTCTAGATAGCAGGATTGTAGTTGACTTATTTTATTTTTATTTCATTTGCCTGAACTCAATTGATGTCTTGTATTTTTACAAGCAAGGGAGATATTACAGAATAAGATAGACTGAAAATTCAGCTGGGTCCTCTCCTTGGGTAAGAGGAGTGAACCATGGATGTTTTCCCCAGATGAAGTCTAGCCCTGGGTCTGGGGGCACAGGAACCTCAGGACTCTGGCCCAGATACCCACTCCAGCTGGTCCCTAACACCTCTCCTGTGTTCTCATATCTTAACCCAATGCTCATGGGCTTCTCTTTGCCCAGAGACCCTGGATCCATTTCTCACACCCTCCATTCAGGACATGTGGCTTTTCACATCCTGGCTTCCTCCTCTCAGAACGCCCTCCCCTTTTCTCCTGGGCTTCGGTGATAAAGTGGCTGCTAAAGTCCATTCTCCTTATGAAAGAGGATGCTGCTGTGTTGGGAGGGAGAGGCACTCTGAAATCTGGCCATGAAAACCGGAACTCACCTGTCACGATTCCCATGCACATGCGCCGTGGTCTTTCTTCAGTCCTGCAGGTAGAAGCAGGCATGTGAGCGTCAGGCTGCATTCGTCACCTGCTGACAGCCCTTCCCCTTGGTCGTGGTCTATTTCATAGCAGTCTTTGGCCTAGCCTCGCTCTGGTTCTGGGATTATTCTTCCTGGGGTTAGAGGCACAGCTCAAGCAACCATGGAGTAGTCAAAATGGGGAAAACAGCTCTCTCTGGACCCTTCTCTGCTCCTCCAATCCACTCTCATCGGGCCCAAAGCTGGAAGGAGAGGCTGATCCCAGGGAAGAATGAGACTGAGCCTGGCCCCAAGCCTGCCTGGTTCCCCAAGAGCAGGGCAAGGAGACCTGGCGGGGAGAAACAAGAACTCCATCTATTAGCCTCTCCCACTTCTCCTCATTCACCCCAAGGACCCACTAGATTCTCAGGCTCAGGGAAGGTTGAACCAGGAGGCTGCGTTCTGGGAGCTTCTCTGCCACCTTCTCAGAGGGCAGCCTTGAGCAAGGCACTGAGACTGCCTGGGCCCCAATGTTTCCCATCAGTAAAGCAAGGAGATTAGATGGGAGCATCTCCAGGCTCCTTTCTGCTCTCCGTGGTTTCAGGATAGTTACCATTGTTGCTTCACCAGATTGCCTGTCTCTGGGTCTGGGTCTGGAGGCTGGAAAAGATATTCAGTGTTAACATCCGGCCAGGGGAGGCGGTAGAACCTCTTATAGTGAGACCCCCAAGCTGCCTGTCAGAACTTCCACTCCTGTCAATCAGAGGGAACCTACAAGGCCAGGCTTGGTGGCTCTCGCCTGTAATCCCAGCACTTTGGGAGTCTGAGGATGGAGGATCCCTTGAGGTCAGGAGTTTGAGACCAGCCTGCCAATATGACAAAACCCCATCTCTACTAAAAAAAAAAAAAAAAAAAAAGGCCGGGCGCGGTGGCTCAAGCCTGTAATCCCAGCACTTTGGGAGGCCGAGGCGGGTGGATCACGAGGTCAAGAGATCGAGACCATCCTGGTCAACATGGTGAAACCCCCGTTTCTACTAAAAATACAAAAAAGTAGCTCGGCATGGTGGCGCGTGCCTGTAATCCCAGCTACTCGGGAGGCTGAGGCAGGAGAATTGCCTGAACCCGGGAGGCGGAGGTTGTGGTGAGCCGAGATCGCGCCGTTTCACTCCAGCCTGGGTAACAAGAGTGAAACTCCGTCTCAAAAAAAAAAAAAAAAAAAGAAAGAAAGAAAATTAGCCAGGTGTGTGGTATGTGGCTATAATCCCAGCTACTTGGGAGACTGAAGCAAGAGAATCGCTTGAACCCAGGAGGCAGAGGTTGCAATGAGCCAAGACAGCACCACTGCACTCCAGCCGGGGCAACAGAATGAGACCCTGTCTCAAAAACAAACAACAAACAACCTATGGAGAAAGACAAAGACTCCTTCTGCAGGGAGGAAAATGCTTGGCTTCCTCTGCAGCGTGTTTGTCAGACCTTGGAGCAACAGAAGGTGTGGAATGGTTTCCTCGGCTTAGATTTGAATGCCACCTAAAGTCATATTAACCTTCTCCACAGAAACAAAGGATTGTTTTATCACGACTCCCCAGAATCTAGAATTCATGTTATCGTTTCTCTCCCCTGACTAGACCATGAGAGCCACGAAGGCAGGAGTGTGTCCATTTAAACTTGACTATGCTCCTTGGACCTAGAACAGTGCCTGGACATGTTTTAAGTATTCAACAAATATACGCTGAATCCATATTTTTGGAATGAATGAAGTAAGTTTCCGATTTCCCCCTTGGTAAACTGCTGGGCGACACAGGACATCAGCTCTCTGCTGAGGTTCCCAAGTCTAGGACTAGATTTGAGACCATGGTAACTCGCCTGGGAATCACGTCCTTTGCAAGCTCCCAGAAAGCTTGGAATCATGCCCAGAACATATAAAATATTCAGCAAATCTTAGCTCTCCTTGGTTGTATTATTTTCTCAGTTTCTGATGTCAATTTTCTCTCTCAAAATTCCTAGAAGACAGCATCTCCGGGTGTGGTGGTGACAGGCAGACAGCTACACCACATCACCCACTCCAACCTGCACCACTTCCCTTTAAAAGGCCTGTCTGTCCTGACCACCCAGCCACAACGAGCACCCGCCTGTAGACCTGGGTCACGTCTCCGCAGCTCTCCAGGTAGGACAGGCGGACTGGGAAGTCCCACTAATTGAAGACAGCGTCCTTTGCTCCTCAATACAAGAGAAGCTAAATCTCCCAGGAAGACAAACAAAAATCACACTAAGATGCAAGTCAGGGATTATTTTAAAAGATGCCCGACAGGGTAGGTAATGAGGGGAGCAGACCTCCTAGGGTTGTGGCAAACTGGACAGCCTGGGCCCAAGCACAGGGAGCACCCCCCAGAGTCATTTTTCAAGAGGAACTGGAAATGTGAACATTTGAAATCTGATTTCAATGTTGGCAGCTGATTCAATGAAAGACAAAGCATCAATTAGGACCACCGATGTGCTTGTAGTAATTAATTGACTGATAGATCTCCCCCCTCCCAAATGAACTTGATCGGAGGAGAGGGTGGTAAAGAGAGATGCTGGGAGGAAAGAGGAGAGAATAAGAGGAACCAGGCTAGGAGAGGGGGTGGGGGAAGAGCTCCGAGGGCAGCCACAGAAAGGGAAGGCCGTGGCTAACCCAGCCAACTCCCGCGTCCCCATTGTACCCACTGCAAGCCACTCTCCCTCCACACTCTTCGTTTGCTGAATGCCTGCCTTGTGGCAGTTACTGTGACCCTGGGGCTGCAAAGCTAAATAAGACACAGGCTCTACCCTCAAGGAATTTTACAGAGTGAATTATAAACTCCTTGGCAAGGAAAATTGTCTATGACACTAAGTTAGGAAAAAAAAACACCTTGCAGATAGGATATTGTCATGTGATCCCATTTAGGTTTTATATATACCATGTGTCCCTATGTATTGCTATACATTGGAGGATGAGTGAGAATGTGGATGTGTGTGGATGTGTGTGTTTGTTGAGGCAGAGGAATAAACGATGTGAACACGGTCTTCTATTGTGCATATATCTGTTTTTTCTTACATTGAACGTGTATCATAGTGTTATTTGCATAACTTCTAAAAACATTTACATAACTGATTTTTGAAGTTCTACAAGGAAAAGGGGGTACATGCCTGTAATCTATAGCAATTAAACAAAAGCTAGTTGTAGTCCCAAAGAAGTGCTTATACCTTCGTTACAGAAAGCTCCAGGCACTCAAGGCAGAGGCATTAGCACTATGGACTTTTTTCTTTTTAAATTCACTGTCTTCCATTCTTTTGCCCTGGTCTGGCTTTTAAAATACACACCCTAGGTAAGTTCATGACGGCCATCTGTCTCTCAGGACAGAGGAAGGGGGCTTGCAAGGAACTGTGCTTTCAGACTTTACCCTGAAGGTTGAGGCACCTGTCAGCGTACAGACTGTGATCCTGGGGCTGGGAGATCATCCTGATGGAGCTGTCTTCCTGAGAAGTGGGAGCCGAGTGACAACAGGAGCTGTCAGCCCTGAATAATTCATGGATAAAGAGCTCTTTCTGAGATGAGACCAAGGGGTACAAGTCGCTGATGGGTTTAAAGTTAGAGACCCGGTGCTTGGTGGAGATTTCCCTGCCCAGGTAGGAGGACCCGAGAGTCCTGAGCCCGTGTGTCCCACATCCTGGACTCCAGGATGTCAGTATCAGCATGCACGGACACACAGGTGTAGCAACGTCAGTCTGCTATCTGGGACACAAAAACTCTGTTCTCACTTATTTCCATCTCTGATTTCACCTCTCTTGTCAAGGGTAACCCTCCACCCTCATCCTGACCAACATGCACAGTCACAAGTGCAATTTAAAGACTACCAGCATAGACAAAAGAGAATGTGGGTGGGGAGCTCTGCCTGCTTTCAGGGGGCCCATGGTTGGGTTCCTAAGGCTCAGTCTCTACCTTCACACACCGTCATCTCCTCATCCTTCTTCCTGCTATGCCCCTTTCCCCCAGTTACAACTGTGATCAGGGTAAGGTTCTAGCAGAGGAGGCATTGATACGTATGGTGGGGCCAACACTGTCTAGACAGGGAGTCCAGGACAAGTTCCAGAGAGGTAGAAACTGGTTGAGAAGAGAAGATGGTGGAAGACAGGTCCAGGGTCTCTGAGGCCGTTAATGCACTGGCATCATGCACAGAGTGGTGAGCTGGGGCTTGCAGTTATGAGGAGAGGGGCTGAGGAATTCTGGGAGGTGGTGTTGGGAGGTAGACTCTGGGGGAGTGAGGAGAGTGTCCTGTTTGTCAAGGTATGGGAGGCGTGGTCGGTCTCTGGGCAGAGTGGAGACTGAGAAAGAAGCACTCTGTCCAGCTGGGCTGCTGCAGCTGGGGACGGCAAGGCTGCGGAGCTGAGCTAAGACCAGGAGGAGGGCTGTGGGGAAATGCCGACATTCTCTGCTCTCCACCCTCCTCTCCAGATCCCTCTTTCTCTGTTCATCCCTTTATCTTTTTGTCTTTCTTTCTTTCTCCCTTATTTGACATATAAGATATACCACTTAGCATTTATTAACAACAAGAGTACGAAAAGATGCTTAACATACTAATCATCAGGGAAATGCAAATCGAAACCACCGTGAGACATCACCTCATACCTGTTAGGATGCCTACTATCAAAAACCAACCAACTAACCCACCCCAGAAAACAGGCATTGGTGAGGATGTGGAGAAATAACAATTCTTGTGCACTGTTGGTGGGAATGTAAAATAGTGTAGTCACTGTGGAAAACGGTATGGCAAGTTCTCAGAAAGTTTAAATAACAGAATTATTATATGATCCAGCAATCCCACATCTGGGTGTACATACCCAAAAGAAATGAAAGCAGGGACTTTTAAACGATATTTGAACACCCAGGTTCATTCATAGCAGCATTGCTTGCAATAGCCAAGAGGTTAAGCAACCCAAGAGTCCACTGACAGATGGCAGAATAAGGGAAATCTGATACAGATATACAAGGAAATGTCATTCATCCTTAAGAAAGGAAGGGAAATCTGGCAGTGGATGAACTCCAAGGACATTATGCTGAGTGAAGCCAGTCACAAAAAGACAAATACTGTATGAGTTCACTTATATAAAACAGAAGTATATGATTTTATTTATTATTGTTTTTGAGTCTCACCCTGTCGCCCAGGCTGGAGTACAATGCCATGATCTCAGCTCACTGCAACCTCCTCCTCTCGGGTTCAAGTGATTCTCCTGCCTCAGCCTCCTGAGTAGCTGGAATTACAGGCGCCCACCACCATGCCTGGCTACTTTTTTTGTATTTTTAGTAAAGATGGGGTTTCACCATGTTGGCCAGGCTGGTCTTGAACTCCTTGACCTTAGGTGATCTGCCCACTTTGGCCTCCCAAAGTGCTGGGATTACTGGCGTGAGCCATCACGCATAGCCAATTTCACTTATATAAGGTACCTAGAGTTACCAAAATATAGAGAGGGAAAGTAGCATGGTAGTTGCCAGGGACTAAGAGAAGAGGAGAATGAGATGTTATTTCATGGGTAGAGTGTTTTAGTTTCGCAAAATGAAAAAATTCTGGAGGTCGGCTGCACGATAATGTGAATATGCTTAACACTAGTGAACTAGATGGTAAATTTTGTGTTATATGTATTTACCACAATTGCAATCAAAATTTAAAAAGTTTACAAAGATTGGTGTATTTTTAAAGATTTACAAGGCAGGTAAGAAAACTTTTTTATCTTATACAGTTTAAAAGATTACTTTTAAAATTCTCTGTAATCTTTGAGTTAATTAATGGATTTAGTTTATTAATGAGAAACTCCAAAAGTTTCTTACCTTGATGTAAAAAGAGGCATTTGATTAAAAAAAAAAAAAAAAGATTCAATCTCCTGGATGTATCCGTTCATATAATATTCTCGCCCAAATGAAACATTCTGCCCAATTACCAGGAGCCCATTCAGAGGATCATCAGTACCAAACTCTCCTACTCCAAGCTACTTCAAATACTCACAATTTCCAGATTGCTGATGGCTGCCACAAATTTAATATCAGAAGGCTTCAGAGAGTGAACTGTGGAGACAGGAACCCATATAGGAAGGTCAGATCTACATTCCCCATGATGTCAGCCAAGGGTACCATGTGGGAGAAGAGACCCCCATTCCCCAGTCCCCGGAAAGCTGTGGAGGTCCAGTCTATTGACCAGAGTATAATATCAAAGACCACACGGTGCCTGGGAACCCTAGGAATCCTGTGTAAAAGACGCTCACTCCCCTCTGGGAGCCACACTATTAACCGGACTTGGGGTGTCTAAACAGGTGACCCGTGGAAGGTCACTCACGGCCCTCATTTTCCCCCTCTCCTGGACCCCATTCTGCCTCTCACTTCCTTCTGTCCCAGAGCCTTGCATTTCTGGGCCACCATTAATGAGAGGACGACATCACATTAAGATTAAAACCACCTGGCTACCAAAAGGATCACTTTAGCTTGAAGATTGCCAGAGAAGAGCATTCAAAGCCTGTGAACACGCCTCCATATCAGAGGCAAGCTGTATGTAAATGCCACACAAGGAAGTCACCTGGACCTTGGGTCACTGGCATTTTTAGCAACAGTCTCTCTAGAAATCACTGATCATACTCCCTGGTCATGTTATGGAGCATTTAAATGTAAGCCACCTAAAGAAGACATTTCCTGAAAAGGGCATCAATTTCTTTTTCAACCTAAAGTCCTTACATAACAGTAAGAATAGCATGCTTAACTGGAAACCCCAGCCAAGGCAGAATAGTACAATTGTAAATCTATTAAGTATGGTCTGTAGTGCAGCCTTTCAATATGACAAAGCCAGGGAAGAAAGCCCACTCAAGAGAATTCATAGCATCCAGGTCTTTAGATAAACCCAGCCCACTGTAGGGAAAAAGGGCTTGAGCTGCTACTGTGCTACATTACAGGAACAGGGAAGCCACATGAGTGGCCAGGCTCTAACTCACAGTTCCCACAACACCATCCATCCACCGGGCGGCAAGATTTTGGAGATCAACCTCACCCAAGCAAGCCGCTGTGGAATTATGACAGATGACTGTGAAGTCATCTGTCACACTGAGGGACTGAGGAGAAGGAAGAGGGAAAATTGCATGACCAACAGATGCCAGAGGACTAGGACCAGAGCCTGCTGGCTACCTCCGAAAGGCTCTTCCTGCTCATAGCCAAGGGTCACATACCTGATTTAGAAGGCACATTCACTCCTAAATTATTTGGGTTGCATGGGAATGGAAAATTCTTCAGGGTCTGCAACTGAAACCAAACATCAGAAACATCAGCTGCCATGTATAGAACTATTGCAGGTCCTGAGAATTTGGTGTAGAAATGATCATGTTCTATCTAGGCTCGAAATCTAGAAACAACAATTTTCCATAGTCATGTTCTCCTAACCCCATACCCAGTTCATCTAGTAAAAGGGGACATAAGTCTATTGACAATGACTTTAACAGGTGGCATGCAAGATTGCCTCAGAACAGTGGAGTAGAGAGAGAGGAAAGATCAAGAAGAATGAGAAAGCTCTAGAAATGGGGCCGGACATGGTGGCTCACGCCTATAATCCCAACACTTTGGGAGGCTGAGGCAAGAGGACCACTTGAGATCAGGAGTTTGAGACCAGCCTGGCTAACGTGGCAAAACCTCAATTCTACTAAAAATACAAAAATTAGCCAGGCATGGCGGTACTGTGCCTGTAATCCCAGTTACTCGGGATGCTGAGGCACAAGAATTGCTTGAACCCAGGAGGCGGAGGTTGCAGTGAGCCGAGATCATGCCACTGCCCTCCAGCCTGGGCAACAGAGCAAGACTCTGTCAAAAAAAAAAAAAAAAAAAAAAAAAAAAAAAAGGAAGTTCTAGAAATGGATGGTGGCAATGGTTGCATAATAATGTAAATGTACTTAATGCTACTAAACTGTGCACTCAAGTGTGGTTAAAATAACTTTTGTTTGTGTATATTTTACCAGTGAAAATAAGTTATTAAGAAAGGCCCAGGATATCCTAGACTAAAGCAAGAAAAAATAATCTCATGCTATATTTATCTCATATTCCATGTTATATTTACCTACTTTCCATCTTTTAATTTGATAACTTATACAAAATTAAGTATATGAGGCATTATGTTTATTTGTTGCCAAAAACTAGGTACACTTGAAACTGGGAGACTCTCATGTTCCTACCAGATCAGTGTCCTGAGCCCAGAGGAAGGACTTGGTGACCAGTGCTCAGGTCCTCAGGACTACCTGGACCTCCTTAGCTGCTGGTACCGAGACCAGGGTAGCTTCTGCTTTTGTGAATAACATAGAAGTCTCTGGAAAGGGAGATTGTGTCTTTTCCCTCCAAAATTGAGAGTGGAATGGGGGGGAATAGTTCAATAGGGAAAACATGCAGCAAATGAGGTGCTTGAGGACATCTCACATCACAAGAAGATACAGTCTCTCTTGAAGTACTGATTACAGTAAGAAACCACAGTTACTCTCAGCCCTTATCTTATGGATGTTCTGGGAAGACCTCACCCAGATTCCTTCAGATATCTCCCAGGGTCTGCTTCAAGGTTCACAGAGATAACAAGCCCATTTATAACTCCTTCTGGACACTTCTGGGAACCACACACTCAGTCTGCAGGGCTGATGGGCTCCAAATTCCAGGATACACACTCTGCCGGACAGCCCGGCTGTCCATGGGGAAAGTGGTTCATCCAGCCCATTCCCTCAAGGCCTCAGAAAGGGGCCTGTCAACTTGCACCAAAACTTGGGTTTATTCACTACAAGGAAAACACACACACACACACACACACACACACACACACACACACACACCCCTACCTCCCACCAGGCAAAGCCCTCACCTCCGGCCATGACTGCCCTTCCAGTGTATTCTTGCTGGGAGAGGTATGGATCTGGGGGATCCCTGGAAGAAAGCAAAAATAGTTCAAGTTATTTAGCTGGAATTTACTCCCACTCAAAAATTTGTAGCTTTCATTCTCTCCTCCCAGCCATATCTATGTGCTCAGCTCAGTACTATCCCTTGTGTTAAGGAAGCCCAGATTCTATTTGTCCGGCTATCCCCTCCATTGTTTGGGACACCGTGCTTCCATGAACAACCCATTAGGGCAGAATCCCCAGGTTAAAAAGCAGAAGTGTTATCTGGGAGGGGTCAGTAATAACATTCTATCATGCACAAGCACATTACCACAGATTGCTTTACTGGCTTCTTAGCAAAGGGTAGAACCCACGAAGATGGTAATGTCCGGACAAATAGTTATTGTTGCTGCAGATCCAGGACAAAGCAGGGAAGGCGAAGGACCTTGTAAAATAGTTAGAAGGGTGATGTGATCTTGGAAGAAGAGCTAATCACAGGATTCCTGACAGCCATGACTGTACTCAGTTCCTGGACAGGAGCTGTTTCTAGGGATCTTGATGAACGTGAGGCACAGGGGGAGGAAAAGGCAGGCAGGGAGATGGCAAAGACAATGTCCTTGTCCCAGCTTACTTTTGGCCAGTCTTTAATAAGGCTTATTACTTTGTACTTTTTAAAAGTATAATTGACATCCAATAAATTAGGTTAATTTTAAGCATACACATAGATAAGTTTTTCCTTTTTCTTTTCTTTTTTTTTTTTTTTTTTTGAGACCGAATTTCACTCTCGTCACCCAGGCTGGAGTGCAGTGACATGGTCTTGGCTCACTGCAACCTCTGCCTCCTGGGTTAAGGCAATTCTCCTGCCTCAGCCTCCCCAGTAGCTGGGATTACAGGCATGCACCACCATGCCCAGCTAATTTTTGTTTTTATAGTAGAGACGGGGTTTCACCACGTTAGCCAGGCTGGTCTTGAACTCCTGATCCCATGTTTTTTAACTACACAAACTATAGTATTTAAAAATTAACAGCACCCTAAGTTTAAAAAGGGGGAAAAAACACCCATGATGCTACTACTCTTACATCACAAGTGATTTTGTTTCCTCATTTTTTCACAACCATGAGCAGACATGTTTTATTCAGTTATAATCTGTGTGCACGCAAATTTGTATCCCGCAAACTTCCTTTGATGTATCATGAGAATTTTTAATGTTGTTACATAATTCTGATGCTTATTTCAATAGCTGCACGGTACATTAATGATACTGATATCATTCATGTTAGTCAGGATACCTTACTTCCCCTGACTTCTCCCAACCCAATGTCTGCACAGGGGGGACAGTGGGTGGGGAGAAGTCAGGGGAAGGAAGGCACCCTGACTAACTCCTTATATGATCACGCTGTACAAGCCACAAACAACATTAGCAATGCCAAAAGGAAGCCTGGCTTGGGCAAAGGGGCTGGATCTCTTTTCCACCACAGCCTTCTTCTGCAGCTTTACTTTTTGACCCTGAAAACAATTTATCTAGAGCTTCATGAGGAGCAACAGTATATTTCCATTTCGTGCCCACTGTGAGATCAGGCACGGATTTCCACATTAGCACTTGCACAAGCAATGCTGACTGGACCCTGCCCCCAGATCTCAGTGGTCCCCTTGGAATTCCCAGAAGCAAGCTTTCTGGGCAGAAAGGGCCACATGTTGGGAAGGCATAGAGGCACGGAAAAACACAAAGTGCTGGAAAAGGCTGGAGCAGGGGTTTGTAACTGGAGGCCAGGAAAGTGGTGGGCAGTGGGGATGAGGCTGCACAGACTGCATAGACAGAGGGTGGCTGGGCTGGGGAACCACGAATGTCAGGCTAGTCCCTGAGCAACAGGGAGCTGTGACCAGTCTTCGAAGAGATGATTTCAAGGTGTAATTTAAGATGATCATCACTTGAGGGGGAGTGGGATAGAGGAGTTAGCAGAGCAGAGATTTAAGACTATTTTGGTAATTTTCTTTCTAAGCCAGGATAAAAATGTAAATGGTAGCCAACACAAATACAGCTTCTATGTGCCAGGCACTGTTCTAAGCACTTTATGTGAACTAATTCATTTAATTCTCATGACAACTTTATGAGAAACATACCATCATCCCCACTTTATAGACGGAAAACTGAGGCTCAAAAAGGTTAAGTGGCGTTTTAAAGGTGGCAAGGCGTGGTGGCTCATGCCTGTAATCCCAGCACTTTGGGAAGTGGAGATGGAAGGATTGCTTGAGCTCAGGAGTTTGGGACCAGCCTGGGCAACATAATGAGAACCCATCTCTAACAAATAAAAAATAAAAATAAAAAAAGGTGGCATTGCCAGCAAATGATAATAGTGGGGTTTGAAAACAGGCAGCGTGGCTCATCCTACTCCATGAGCCACGCTTCTAACCAACAAGCTAAGTGTAAGCCACATGTCCAAGGTCTAGATGAGGGCCCGTAGACTTTTTCTGCAAAGGGCCAGAGAGTCAATATTTTAGATTTTACTCCCCATATAGTCTCTACTGAAACTATTCAACTCTGCTGTTGTAGCGTGAACGCAGCCATGAGCAATGTGTAAACAAACTAACTTTAAGGTGACTGAAGTTTGAATTCCACATAATTTTCATGCATTACAAAATATTCTCCTTTTTATTTTTTGCAATCATTAAAAAATGTAGAAACCTTTGTGAGTATCAAGAAACTGATTCTAAAATTTATATGAAGAGGCAAACGACCCAGAAGAGCCAACATGATATTGCAGAACAAAGTCAGAAGACTGATATTATCCAACTTCAGGATTGACTCTAAAGCTACTGTGATCAAGACAGTGTGACTGGCAAAAGAATAAACTACTAGATCAAGTAGACAGAACAGAGAGACCAGAAATAAACCCACATAAACAGAGTCAACAGATCTGTGACTAAGGACCAAAGGCACTATTACAGAGAAAAGACAGTCTTTTCAACAAATGGTGCTGGAACAACAATTTTTTTAATTAAAAGAAAATCAGTCTTCAAAAGCTTTTGGACCTCTTCTTTAAATAGCAGTATTCTAAAAAAAAAAAAAAAAAAAAAATTTATGACAGCTAATATACTCAGCACTCTATTATAAAATTTAAAAAGATGAATTAAAACAGAAGATCTAACCAGGTGCCTGCAAAAAGTGTATGTTGAGATATGTTAATTATGATGAAAGATGCTCTCATTTCATTATCAAAACAATCCAGGAAAAATAGATGGTATGATTAGTATGATTTTATAGCAGCAAAAATTTTAAATGTTGTTTAGAGGGTTGGGGCCGGGTCCAAAGTTTACTGCTGACTCCAGAAATAAAAAGTTTTAATGGGGGCTCAAAAGAGGATGTTTCTGAAGACAACACGTGGATCCCACATGTTTTCCTGCAACTGTTAGGGACTCTTCTGGGTCTTTTATCTTTTTCTGCTGCATTCCTGCATTCTGTTATGCACTCCCACATCCTCTCTGTGTGTGTGTGTGTGTGTGTGTGTGTGTGTGTGTGTGTGTGTGTTGAGAATTATAAAAGCAAAAATTTAAGGAGTCAGGACCCCAAAGAGAAAATATGTGCAGAGACGAGGCCCAGCATTGGATATTCTACCCTTGAAGCATTTGTCAAATCATGAGCAACAGAACTCAGCAGCCAAGGGGCTAAGATACTACAGAGCTTCAGGCAGTGTAATGAAACTGGGGGAAAACATTGAGTTCAGCACCCATCAAGGAGGAGGGACCCCCATGAATATTCCAGGCTTTCAAGTGGGACTTAAAACAGTAAGACCTTTGGAGTAGGGATAAACTGTAAACAAGCTGATCTGTAAAAGTCTAAAGACCAGACTTGAATCGGTTTGATTCCTGATTAGATAAAAGTGATCTGTTCCTACCTAACTGCCTGCCAAAAGCAAAAGGAAAACCTTTATGAAAATACTACTAGCCAGAGCATGAAAATTATCTAATATTTTATATACAATGCTTAGCTTTCCATTAAAAAGTTACCAGGAGACAACACTAAACAAACTAAAGCCAAGAGAAAATTTAAAAACATAACAAACAGATTAGTGAAAAGCAGTAGACTAACATGGAAATAAATGAAGAAAATTCACAATTTTGCTAGCTCTATGTTTTATACCCAGTTAGAGCAAGAGGTGGTCCAATGAGAAATTTAATGGGGCAATCTAGAAAATAAGAAGTACTGAGATGTGCTCATCACGTATCCCCAAATAACTGGAAATTGACATATGTGCCAGGAGGACTGGAAGAGCTGCATGTAAATCTAAAACCAAGAGAGACTTTGTGCCCATTCTCTAACCTACACACACAGCAAGCAACAGAACCTTATGGTCTCAAGGTATTTGAGCACAACCTCTGTCCAGATCATTGACTGATCACTAAACCATGCAGACTTAGGGGTGACTCCTGGGATGCCAGGCATATGAGAGAGAGAGAGCGAGAGCGAGAGCGAGAGCGAGAGCGAGAGCGAGAGCGAGAGTGAGAGCGAGAGAGAGAGAGAGACTGAGCAAAAACATCAGTGGCTAGCTGCACACAACAAGAAAGGTAGATTCCACAATTTAAGTCCGGACAAGTTATTAAAAAACAAACTGATGACCCTCAGGAAAATAAAACAGAATCCAGAATTGCTACATTTAATCAAACATGTCTAGTCTTCAAGCAAAAGTTACCAAGCATGCCTTGACATTGAAACATGAGTCCAGATGAAGAACAAAGCAATCAATGAAAACTGAGATGACACAGATGCTGGATTTCACAGGCAAAGTCTTCAAAGCAGCTATTATATGTATTTGAAGAATTAAATAAAAACATGAAGACAATGACAACAAATAGAAGTGATATAAAATGGAAATTCTAGAGTTGAGAAGTACAATAACTGAAACAAAAGATTCACTAGGTGGGCTCAATAGCAGGCTTGAGATGACAGAATAAAAGAGCAGTAAATTTAAAGATAGTAAGTATATTTCTAAAAAATACAAAGGAAAAGAGACTGAAGAAAAACGGAACCTCGCAGATCAGTGGACAGTGTCA